CCTATGGAATATTCTTGAAGAATAATCTTAAAATATTCATAGGATTGTCTTGTGTTATTTGGGAAGTATTTTTAATGTATAATTCTTTTTAATATATAATTAAATATTCTTGAAGAATAATCTTAAAATATTCATAGGATTGTCTTGTGTTATTTGGAAAGTATTTTTAAGGTATAATAGTTTTAAAAGTTGCGAAGTGTGTTTACCGTCATAATTTTGGAGAAAAGCTATGGAGTTAACAAGGATAATATCAGATAAGTATCGACAAATGCATAAAAATATATAACGATGTAAAACTTGAATATTTTGTGTCGTTTTTACTTTTCATAGCTAAATTAAATAATATGGAGATAAAAGAGGAAGGAAAAGAAAAGGAGAAGAAAAGGAAAAGAGAAAGGAGAGAATGTGAGAAGAAATGAAGAGGAGACACAAAAAATGAAGATAAATGATAAGACGGTAAAAAAAACCGTAAGAGAGCGAGATGGAAAGGCAAGAAAAATATATGAGTGAGTAAGAGAATGCATAAATAAAAGAATAGGTAATAAACAGATAAATTTTTTTGTCTGCCGCGATAGTAAATAAATATTGTTTTACATAATATAGGATAACTTATAAGGATATAGAACTAAGATACTATTTATGTTATTTGTACTTTTATTATTGTTAAACAAAATAAGAAGGAAGAAAAAAAAATTACAGAAAACGAGAAGAAAAGGAGAAAATATAAGCAGAGAAGATAGTACACAAACAGTGTGATGATAAATAAGATAAAATAAAAACAAAATAAGAAGATAGAAAATAGAGAGATGCAAGATTGTATATAGAGTAAATAGACAAAGTTACTTTTTAAAAGTAATTTATTATTATTATTCGTTATTTATAAGAAAAGTACGTTGTTACCATTATATTTCATTATTAGACAGAAAGTAATAGACAGTGTTGTAAAGAGAGAAGGGGAGAGACTACATGAGAGAGAGGGGGGGAGGAGGGAGGGAGAGAAAAACAGAGACGGAGAGACAGACATATTTTTTTATAAAAATAAATTATTCTGAAATAAAATTTAAAGTATCTGCTTTTTGTGTACACCTAAATATTTACAATGTTTAAGTTCAACGTATAAAGTTATTAAACGTATAAAGTTAAAAACTCGTTTTTAGTGATTAATATTATTTTGTAAAAAAAGATGTAATATAAAAACGAAATTACTTTAAAAAAAAAATACAAAAAGGGACCAAGTGCACGCGCCTTACTATTGTTTGTCTTTACAAGAAAAGAATCATTATAAATAAATTAAAACAAAAGCTCAGCTAAAAGATATTTAAAAAAATATTATTAAAACAACTTTATTCAGATCAATTGCACTCTCGTGAATATTCTGTTGAAAAATACAAGACAATTTTATACTCTCTATAAAAGTAATGATATCAAGAGATTTACGCCAAGTGCGAATGATTAATAATTTCAGTTTTTATTTTTATATACTTTTATATACTTTTATAAATATATGTGGTTTTGGCTGTATAACATATTTATAAATTAAATATATTATTAATATATTATTAATATATTATTAATATCAGTAATATATTATTAAATAAAAAATAAAATAATTAGAGAAATACAATAATGTTGAAAAAAATTATAATAACTTACACAAAAAAGCACTTGGCGTGCCTTTTTTTATACGTTCTCTTATTTTAATAACTATCAAAATATTATATTGATTATCCATATAGTATTAAAAAAAGGCACGCCAAATGCTTTTTGTATAAATTATTATAATTTTTTCAACATCATTATATTTCTCTAATTAATTTTTTTTTTTTGATAACACAGAAAAATGTTTCAGATGAAAGTGGAAGGGCGTCGAAGGGGACATTTTGGTCACGTTGTTTTTTTCTAGATGGAGCCGCTAAAAAGATGAGGGTTATCTTCACTTTTTTAAATGGAATTATGATTTTTTTATAAATATGATTCCTCTATTTATTTTATGTATAAAAATATTAAGAAGCATAATTGTCGAAAAATCAATAGTTTACGAGATATTTTATACTTCATTCTAACAAAAAATTTAGTCAAGGTGATGTTCAAATTAATGTTCTTCGACTTCAATGTATTTAAATCTCATTGACTTTTTTGTTTGGGGAACGTTAAAAAACATTATTTTCAAAGATGTACTAACTACACAAGATAACATGAACGTATTTTGGAAGCATGTGCGAGTATAAATTTAGAAATGATAGAAAATGTAAGAATATCATTTATGTATCGTATCCGAAAATGTATTGAAGTCGGAGGACATCATTTTAAACATCTCCTTGACTAAATTTTTTGACAAAAGGATAAAATATCTCGTAAACTATTGATTTTTCGAAAATTATATTTCTTAGTATTTTTATAAATAAAATAGAGGAATATATCATATTTATAAAAAAAATCATAATTCCATTTTAAAAAGTGAAAGTAACCTTCATATTTTTTTAACGCCTTCACCTAGAAAGAAGCAACGTGTCTTCCTCGACACCCTTTCATTTTTATCTGAAACGTTTTTCCATAAAATAAAGTAAGTGAAATATTCAAGATGTTCGATTTAAATAGACCACCATTTATATATAATTTATATATAATGTAAAACATACGATAAATTAAATATCAGATAATAATCAAATTCAATCGCACAAGAAAAACATTATTTTATGATAAATATCAACGTGTTAAAGTAATGTATATGTCGTATTTCCTGTTGGAAAAGGTAAACTTACAATAAGAACTTTTATTATGAAATATATTTGCGTATAAAATTGATACAAAATAGTTTAAACATTTATAAATATTCCAAAATTCCTATTATATAAAGTAGAAATTGTTATAGATCTTAAAGTTACATAAGCAGTTTGATGAGAACTAAAGCTCTCTTCATATCATATAAAATCAATATAATTAGTTGGTATTCTTTTCATTCTTCTATGATGTTTTATATAAAGAAGATAACTCACTTTTTAATTGTGTTGCTTCATCCTTTATCATGTTAATATTTTTATTTAATTTGTACATCTGCAAAGCATATTTAAGCATATAATGTTATCATAAAATAATTGCAAAGCATAATCAATATTAAACAAATCAACACAGTTGAATTATAATATATTATAATATATTGAGATTTAATAAATTCTGATATACTCACATATTCTTTTATCTTAAACTTTTTATATAAATCATATAATTCATCCACTGTCCATTCTTTTTCATCATGCTTATTTAATTTAACAAATGAACAATTTGATTGATGTTTCACATGCTCATCCCTATAAATTAGAAGAGAATTGCTACATGTAAGAATTTGCTATATACAGAACTATTGTTACTTTGAATATTTCTTAAAATAACTGAAATATCAAGATCATGCCTCTTTGAAGTTGTATAATAGCGAGAGAGACGTAATGTAATGACAGTAGTTCCTTGGTACATAGTGATGTATATAGGAACGTTGAAAAACATTATTTTCACAGATGTACCAACTACACAAGAGAACATGAAAGAATATATTTTGGAAGCATGTGTGAGTATAAATTCAGATATGATAGAAAATGTAAGAATATCATTTATGTATTGTATCCGAAAATGTATTGAAGTTGGGGGACATTATTTTGAACATCTTGACTAAATTTTTTGTCAAAAGTATAAAATATCTCGTAAACTATTGGTTTTTTGACAATTTTATTGATATATATATATATATATATATATGTGTGTGTGTGTGTGTGTGTGTAGGAGATTTCAAGGTGACTTGAGATTCTTCTTAACAAATTCCACTTATCACATTCTGCATATAAAAATATTATTAAATATTATTTCACTTAAAAAAGAATTACTGTCACTACATTACATCTTTTTCATCAACCTCAAAAAATAGGATCTTGGTATATCAATTAATTTAAAAGACATTCAAGATGATAATAGTTATTATCTCTCATCCTATATAATAATACAAATTACTTAACATATATTATAACATATATATAACTATATACCATGGGTCATCATCTGGTTCCCAACCATCTAGTTGTTTGCCACACATAAAACATTCTACCAAGTCTGGTTCATCATTATTTCCAATGGCATAAAATCCAGCAGCAGCCATGCATTCCGAATTACACTTATCGGATATTGTAAAAGGCCAATTGTTGAATGTTTTTATTCTGCCTTGTTTCCAAAAAAAAGAAGTAGCTTCTCTGAAAGCAAACCGTACACAAATAATCTAAATTCACCTATTAAATTTACTGAAAACTTATAGAACTCATGACAAATTAAATTCTATTAAATTAAAAAAAGGAAGGAAATTTAATATGCAATATGCGGATATGCAATATTTTACTTTATCTACTACGGCACGGTTATGAAGCATATCTACTCTGAAATATACTTACGGTATCTCCATAGCTATATCGCTCAGAAATACTTTGAAGTAAAACAAATTCAGTGGATTGATGTAAAACCGTTAAGGCTCGTCTACAATTTCTGTAAGAATATGGCTGTAAAACTGTAAAACGCGAAATGAATTATTTTCACTCACTGACAGCTTACGCAGAGAGAAAAATAAGGGCTATCGCACACAAATTGACATAACTGCATATGCATAGCATAAGACCGTATGTACCAATGAGCATCGAGTATTAAGTCGCCATATTGGTGTTCGATGCTTAATATTCGATGCTCATTGGTCCATACGATCTTATGCTATGCATGTGCAGTTATGTCAATTTGTGTGCGATAGCCCTAAGAGTAGCCATGCCGCATTTAGAGAGTTAGGGCTATCGCACACAATTAACATAACTGCATATGCATAGCATAAGATCATATGGACCAATGAGCATCGAGTATTAAGTCGCCATATTGGTGTTCGATGCTTAATATTCGATGCTCATTGGTCCATACGATCTTATGCTATGCATATGTAGTTATGTCAATTTGTGTGCGATAACCCTAACTCTCTAAATGAGGACATGGCTACTCTTAGGGCTATCGCACACAAATTGACATAACTGCATATGCATAGCATAAGACCGTATGTACCAATGAGCATCGAATATTAAGCATCGAACACCAATATGGCGACTTAATATTCAATGCTCATTGGTCCATATGATCTTATGCTATGCATATACGCTATGTAATTTTGTGTGCGATAGCCCTAAGGGCCATCACACACAAAATTACATAGACGCATATGAATAGCATAAGATCATATGGACCAATGAGCATTGAATATTAAGTCGCCATATTGATGATTGATACTTAATATTCGATGCTCATTGGTCCATACTATCTTATGCTATGCATATGCGCTATGTAATTTTGTGTGCGATAGCCCTTATGGGTAGCGATGGGCGATGTCAAGTCGATTATTTTGATATCGATTATCGTATGATGTTTTACCAACTTGATTATTTCCTAGATAATAGTTTTTTTGTTCGATATTACTATAATCGTCTCTAAATTTATTGGTCCGTATTCTGAGTTCTTTTTTAACGATAAATAAGCCTCCAAAAGTGGCTTATAAACTTTCTGATTAGCTATGAGTCACTTTTAGAAGCTCATTTAACGTTAAAAGAGAACTCAGAATATGAGGGAGCGGTGCACTTGGACACGGTGCATTTGGACACAGCTAATCACAGCACCGTGTGATTAGAGACATTTGTAGGATCCCTTGGAACAGCGACTTGTGATTGGACTGTATCCAATTGCCCCGTGTCCAACTGATATACACCCGAATATGAGCCTATGTCCCGTTTGGACACAACCAATCGGTGCAAAGAATCATCTAGTGAATTAGATCGAACCAATCATTAGCCAGACAACATAATGTCTAAAATTGGGACATAAGGCTAAGTTCCCATTAGCGCGTCACGCGTCGCGTCGTCCTTCGCGGACCAATCAAATCGCCCCATTTTATTCGTAAAGTTAAGCAATATATATATATATGTGTTTTTTTTATTCATATATTATATATCTCTTATTATATAAATATATTATATAAATATTACATAAATATTATATATTCTTATCTCAGTCTTAGGATACAAATTAACCAATCAAATCCTTTGATTGGGATGACGCAACGCGCGACATACGACGCGCTTGTTCTAATAGAACAATTTGATTGGTTAAACTTATGACACAGCAGACGACGCGCCCGCAGGGTGCGTTCCCACTTCGTGCGTCACGCGTCTCGTCGTCCTTCGCGGACCAATCAAATCGCCCCATTTTATTCGTCGTAGAGTTAGGCAAAGTGAGAACGCATCCATAAAACATGTTAAATATCATCTTTAAGATGTTTTTTAGACGATTTATGTATAAATGTCTTTAAGGCGTTTTAAAGATTATCTTTAGTACGTCTTATGTCCCGATTTTAGATGTTATATTGTCTAGGTACAATCTGTCCAATCGGGACGTGGTCAATCGGGTTCCATACATGCAGTAACCATTAAAATTTTGTCAAATAAAAAATGTAGCAATAATATTTTAGTTATGATATAGATATTTTTATTGTATATATTATATACTCCTCACAGCACATTAACCCTTTATAGAAATATCATACTAAGAATCATTAATTACTTATTTTCAGTATTAAAAGTACAGTATTTAGTAATATTCTGTGATTCAAATACAGCTTTTAGTACTCAA